TACAAAAATAATTATATAACAAAGTAAGCCAGGCTCGGTGGCTCAGCCTGTAATCCCGCGCCTTGGGAGGCTGAGGCGAGTGGACTGCCGAGCCCGTGGGTTCGAGACCCGCCTGGGCAACTTGGCGAGACCTCATCTCCACAATAAATCAAAAAAAAAATTTAGCCGGGCATGGTAGCGCACGCCTGTAGTTCCAGCTACTTGGAAGGCTGAGACGGAAGGATTGCCGGAGCCCAGCAGGTCGAGGCTACGGTGGCCGGGAGCGGCCACGGTACTCCAGTCTGGGTGACAGAGTGAGACTCCAACTCAAAACAAACAAACAAACAAAAAACCACAAAAAAACAAAGTAGAGCAGTACTCTAGGTACTGTGGCACTGTAAGGGAGTAAGAGGAATGTTCTGACTGAGGCAAGAAATGCTGACATTGCAAGGGACATGGAATAGCCAAAACAATGTGGAAAAAGAACAAAGTTAGAAGACTAACACTTCCTGATTTCAAAGATTACTGCAAAGCTACAATAACCAAAACAGTGTGGTTCTGGCCTAAGGATAGACATATAGATCAATAAAAAAGGACTGACAATCCAGAAATAAACCCATATATCTGTGGTTAACTGATTTCTGACAAGGGTGCCAAGACCACCCAGTAGGAAAAAAATAATCTTTTTAACAAATGATGCTGGGACAACTGAGTATCACATGCAAAAGAACAAAAGCTGAGTCCTTACCTCACACCGTATTAAAAAATTCGTTCAAGCCAGGCGCGGTGTCTCAGCCTGTAATCCTATGCCTTTGGGAGGCTGAGGTGAATGGATTGCCTGAGCCCGTGGGTTTGAGACCCGCCTGGGCAGGCGAGACCTCATCTCTACAATAAATCAAAAAATTATCTGGGTGTGGTAGCGCACGCCTGTAGTTCCAGCTACTTGGAAGGCTGAGGCGGAAGGATCGCCGGAGCCCAGCAGGTCGAGGCTGTGGTGGCCGGGAGCGGCCACTGCACTCCAGTCTGGGAGACAGAGTGAGACTCCAACTCAAAACAATTAAAAAAAAAAGTGGAATATCATTTAGCCATAAAAAGAAATAAAGTACTGATACATGCTCCAACATGGATGAACCCTGAAAATACTATGCTAAGTGAAGGAAGCTAGGTATAAAAGGTCACATATTATATGATTCTATGTATGTTAAATGTCCAGAACAGGCAAATCCAGAGACAGAAAATAGATTAATGGTTGTCAAAGGAATGAAGAATGACTGCTAATAGGTATGGGGCTTCTTTCTGGATTGATGAAGATGTTCTGGAATTAGATAGTTTTAGTTACTGTACAACCTTGTGAATACACTAAAACCCACTAAATTGTATATTTTATAAGGGTAAGTTTATCTCAATTTTTTAAAGGGGAGCAGACATTTGAACTGAATATATATATATTTTTTTGAGTTGCAGTCTCACTCTGTTGCCTAGGTGGGAGTACAGTGGCAGGCTCCCGGCTACCACAGCCTCAACCTGCTGGGCTCAGGTGATCCTTGTGCCTCAGCCTTCCAAGAAGTGGGAACTATAGGCATGCGCTACCATGATCAGCTAATTTTTTGATTTATTGTAGGGATGAGGTCTCACCATGTTGCCCAGGCTGGTCTCAAACCCGCGGGCTCAGGCAATTCTCTCGTCTCATCCTCCCACAGTACTGGGTTTATAGGCTCGAGCCACTGTGCCTGGCCATGAACTGAATCTTAAAGGATGTGCTCATTGGGGAGACAACAGTGGGAAGAGAATTCTAGGCAGAAAGAATAAAATGAGAAAAGGCGTGGAATCCACAAAAGAGCAATGTGCATTCAGGGAAGTGAAAATGGATCTGAGGCTGGATTATAGGGCAGACGCACAGGAGTGGCATAAATTGAGCTGACAACGTGGTGGAAGGACAAATAATGAAAGCCCCACATGCCAACTGAGGAGGAGGCCATGGGTGCCTTTGATGAAAAAGAGGTCTGCTTCAGGGAGAATGATGTAACCAAGCTTCCTGGCTCAATCCATCTTGCCAGGGAAGCCCACTCCCAACAACTCAGAACCATCTAACAACTCCACTCCAACATCATTTTTCGGTGAGCCCAACATCATTTTTCTCACCATTTATGACACATTTATCTACAGCATTAGCTACTCTTAGTTTCTTCCCATCAGTGTATAAACTTCTTAAGGGCATCTTGTTTCCAATCTTGACTGTGTCAGTCCAAGTGCAGAGTACCCTGTGGAACTCCTAGGACATTGAATAAGACTGGCAATTTTGACAAAAATCTGAGTTTTCCTAACTTTATTAACTTTTGTTCACATTGCCATCCCATTTGAAATGCCCTTCTAATCACAAATTCATTCAAAACTTCACCCTGGTCTGTTTCAAATGCCACTTCTTTATGAAGGGTTTTCTTGCCTCCCCACTGGGATGTGGACGCCCCTCTCTTTCAAAGAGGGTGTATTTTGTACTTTTCTTATGGGATTAATCTCCTCATACCTTACAGCACACTTATCTGGGTATTCCTCTCATGTCATACATCTCTTGCTCCTCACCTAATGGAATCTAAACACTTTGGCATAAGATTTAAGCCTTTCTGAACCCTGCAATTCCCTGGATAGAGTCTGAACTGAACAGTTCAACTAGCGGCAAAAATGATGGGATCAGAGACAGAAATAATCATTATCACAAAAGTTTTTAAAAATCCTAGAAGAAACTACACAAAACAGGATGCAGGCATAAATAACACAGAGTGTATGCTGAATCAATTTGTGACCACTTGGCTTGTTTATTTCCATCACATGGATCTCATTTTCTAAAACTCCAGAAGACTCAGACAAAAAATAATGGCCTACCAGCTGCTGTGTTCCCAAGTCTGTGGTTTTCCTATGATATAAACACAAGATTCTGGAGGTATGGTCTCTGTTACTATTTTCTGGTGTAGGTATGGGGAAGAAATGGACGATGGGGGGCTGGTGTGAGGGAAACCCACCTAACAAGCCGACAGTTCATATAAGCAACACCTGGAGTGCCAAACCCCCTCCAACTGTATTTTATTGGGGAAAAAAAAAAACAACTCCACTCCTCCTTTGGTAAACGCAAAAATTCTTTCACCAGCTGCATTCCAATCTAAAGTGTGTGGCAGTTCAGGAGAGATGGCAGCTGGAACAGATCACATTCAGGATGTAGAGAACACTTACCAGCAGCTAGGGGATAATCAGAACCTGCAAAATTAATCCTCAGAGCCATGTTCCTCTAAGAAAATGGATTAGTCTCGATCTGCCTGCTCAGAGTGTCCTGCTCGTAAATGTTAAAAATACTGGAGGTACATATCAGCATCTGACTGTGAAAAAAATCAGCCTTTTGAATAGAAACTTTGTGACATCAGCTATTTTAGGACTTTCCACTTCAGTTCATAAAACCCCAAAGCCTCAGTTTTGGTTTTAATCCTAGTTTTGTTAAATATTTACAATCTACTGCAAAATCGAATTCAGACTAAATGTCTGCTTACACAACCTTGTGACATGGCCATTCCTCCAGACAAGAGGAAAAGAGAACTGACATTTATTGAACATTTACTATGTAACTGGCACCAGACCAGTCACTCCCTTCATATTCCATCCTCACAACATCTCTGGGAGGCAGACATCCACATTTCACATGAGGTGTGTGGGCCCACATGAGGTAACTTGGGCCCAGACAGCTTAAATCATTTGCTCAACACCCTCAAAGGAAAAATTGGAAGAGTTAGGTCTGTCTGACTCCAAAGCCAATGTTCTTTCCATTGCCCTCTGGTACTGGTTAATATGCCCCAGAGAGTTCTTTCTCCAGAATTTGCAAGAATGTTATAAGAGCCTATGACTCTGGCACAGGTGTTGGCAAACTTTCTGTAAAGACCAGATAGTATATATTTTATTTATTTTTAAGCTTTTTTTTTTGGTCTCTGTTGCAATTACTCAATTCTATCACTGTAGCACAAAAGTGGCCATAGATAATATGTAAATGAATAAACATGGTTGTGTTCCAATAAAACTTCATTTATGAAAACAGGCAGTGGGCCGGATTTGGTCCCAAGGCTATGCTTTGAGACCTCTTGCTGACCCCTGCTCTACAAGGTTCTAGAGTGGGTAGCTTCATGTTATTTAGATTTAGAAATCAATAAAGAATTGCTGGCCATTGCTTTGGTAACTGCTGCTCTCTTCACGTGCATCTTTGAGTTGTGGCCGCCATGTTTTCTTAGTGTTGGCCCCCTTCCCTACCTTGGGGAGGTGAATCTCCTCTCTCTCTCTTTTTTCTCTCTAATTTGCTTTCTAAATAACACTGTTTGAAAACTTAAAAAAAAAAAAAAGAACTGCCTATTTCCAACTTAATCAACAAATGTGAGAGTCTTCTATAGTCAAGAGAATATGAGAGAGAGAGTAGCATAAGACATGGTCCATGCACTTAAGGAATTTATATTCTTTTGGGAAAAGGCAGAGGCACATCAAAGCCAAAAACAGCAACATGAGGTAGCACCTGGTAAGTGCCCAAGAAGAGGACCTGAGGGCCAAGGGCTGACTGATGGGCCACCAATATATTAGAAAACCAGCGTCCACAATCTGATCAACTAATCTTGCATTGGCACCAGAGCTCAGAAAGAGTCGGAAAAACCTCTCAGTGGGCAGGAATGAAGAATGAGTCAGAAGTTACTGCTTTAAGCTCTAACAAAAACACCCATTCTGATGAGACCACACTGAAGTTTATAGCATGTGACAGATGCTAATCAAAGACATCTCCTTTAGACTCACCAAACACATTTGCTCCCTGTCTCATTCTAAAAAAGGACAAGCAACTAACCTATGGTGCTGAGTGCCTGAGGGAACTCTGCAAGACCTTGCCATTCTCAGCTGATACTTTAAGCCCCGGTGAGCCTGAAGAAGCTACAGACAAGGGCCAACAGAAACCATCTTGGGCCACACTTGGAAGTCCAGGAAGAAGCCATTTCCCAAAGCCTTACCTTGCTCATTGCAGTTAGGGCAGGATCACAGGCAGCATCCAGATCCTGAACCAACAACTGAATACTGCTGGAGATGACACTGCAAATCATACAATTTATTGTGGTTACAACTTTAAACAATGGCTGTTTGAATGACTGACGCAGCCCCTTCCAAACGTTTTAGGCCCTTGGGTAAAAATTAGATTCATCACTTCATAAGAAAAGCTCATTTTAATCAGTGACAATGGAAGAGCAGTTTGGTTCTTTCTTCAAGTCTTGGTCTTATTTGGGTGTGTACCCACCGAGGTGGGACACAAAATTCCATGGCTCATCTCCCTAGCCATCACCCCTAGATTCCCTCCTCACATCTTCCTCCAAAAGTACCTGTTTCTCAAAAACCGTAGTCAGAAGTGAAGAAAAGAAAAAGTTAAGAATAGGGGAGGAAATAAACTAAGAAGAGAATGTTGATTTTTCCTCAAAAATGGTGGATGTGAAAGCTGAAGCTTGGTCCATCCCTATCTCATTTAATGGTGGTGGAGCAGAAACTGACCACAACAAAAGTACTATAAGGTGATAACAGGGAAAGAAATACACCAAGAAGGCTTTACTGTTTGAACTTCTTGGATAGACCTCCTCTACCCCCAAGCATGCACACACACACACACACACTTTTATACTCCCAGTGGTTATCAGGCCACTTACACTTTGTATTCTAAAACACTAGAGGTGGTCCTGGCACTCTGTGAATTAGGAGTTAGGTAGGAACAGATCAGGGATGGCCAAGGCAGAATTTCTTCTCTTTGATCATTTTAGATAGTGCAATAATGAAGACCTCATAAGTGAAAAAATGGCTGCACCTGAGAAGCCAAAATGGCAGGCAGCTGCATCAATCCTAATGCTGTTTCTTAGTGGCTACGGAGAATAATTTGGATCCAACAGAAGGTCTTGAAAACCTCTTAGGGTCCCCAGTGACTAAGGCAAAGCCTGAGACAAGCGGGCTTTTGCAAAGGAGAAAGGCAGGCCCTGTGCAAACACATGCAAGGTACATACGTGCTGAACGTGTCCATTTCGCCAGTCAGATTGATTCGTTCTATCAGACTTACATCAACTTTTTCTTTGAGTTTTTCTTCTAGCTGTTAGAAAATGTGAGAAACAGATACATGGTTAATGATTATCCAAGGGAGTACCTCAAAAGTAATAGTTAATGTTTACTGAATTTGATGCTTCAGGTATAACTCAAGATACTTTTCATATATTGGTTCATTTCATTCTCACAACCCTATGAGGAAGATTCTATTATTATACCCAGTCTACAGATAGAAAATGGAGAAGACCACCCAAGAATCAAACCTCCTCCAGAATCTGTACTTGTTTCTTATGAATCAGACTTCCTCCAGAATCTGTACTTGTTTCTTTTTTTTTTTTCTTGAGTTGGAGTCTCACTCTGTTGCCCAGACTGGAGTGCAGTGGCCGCTCCCGGCCACCGCAGCCTCGGCCTGCTGGGCTCCGGCGATCCTTCCGCCTCAGCCTTCCAAGTAGCTGGAATTACAGGCATGTGCTACCACGCCCGGCTGATTTTTTTGATTTATTGTAGAGATGAGGTCTTGCTGCCCAGGTGGGTCTTGAGCCCTCAGGCAAATTCACTCACCTCAGCCTCCCAAAGGCGCGGGATTACAGGCTGAGCCACCGAGCCCGGCTGTACTTGTTTCTTATGACACATTGATAATCCCTTCCTCCAGAATCTGTACTTGTTTCTTATGACACATTGAATCAAACTTCCTCCAGAATCTGTACTTGTTTCTTATGACACATTGATAATCCCTATCATTAATTTTGAAAAGATCCTGATTTTAAGATACTCCCTGTCTCAAAAACTGCAAGTGTGCCCAATTACATTGAAAACCTTTGCCGGTGAGTGATAGTAGAACCAGCTAAAATATTCAGTGAGTGCTTCTATGGGCCAAGCACCTCATTAAGGCATTGAAGATACCTTGGTAAGCAAAGAAACATGGTCCCTGGCTTCATTAGCCTACAGCCTAGGATAGAAACACTCAACCTGCTCCTAGGGCCTCAGAGAAAAAATACTAGTGGCCCAAGACCTGTAAATACCTGAACACATCCCTGGGGGTCAATTAATCCAGCACTCCTAAACCTATTACACAAAGTCTAGAATAACTAATGTTTTATTTTAAACTTTAAAATGGTCTTAGGGGTGTATAATTACTATAATCTTTTTGAAAGGCAATTTATTAAAAAAGCAAAAATCTAAATATAGACATTCTTTAAACCAGCAACTCCACATCTAGAAACACATTTCAATGAAAAAAGCAGCATATTGTACAAAGATATACAAGTATTCTTTGCAGCATTTTTTGTTTTTGTTTTTGATTTTTTTGAGTTGAGTCTCACTCTGTCGCCCAAACTGGAGTGCAGTGGCCGCTCCCGGCCACCGCAGCCTGGACCTGCTGGGCTCCAGCAATCCTTCCGCCTCAGCCTTCCGAGTAGTTGGAATTACAGGCACGTGCTACCACGCCTGGCTAATTTTTTGATTTTATTGTAGAGATGAGGTCTCGCCTGCCCAGGCGGGTCTCGAACCTGCGGGTTCAGGCAATCCATTCACCTCAGCCTCCCAAAGGCGAAGGATTACAGGCTGAGCCACTGAGCCCGGCTAGCATTTGTTAATTCAACCAGTACTTACTGAAAGCCTACTTTGTCCTGGCTGTGTAACAGAGTAAGGGAGGTATTCAGTGAACAAAACAGATAAGAGCCTGTTCTCATAAAGTTCACATGCTAGTGTTGTTTTTATTACTGAAAAACTGGAAACAATCAACATATATATTTACAAGAATTGATGAAAAGAATTATGGCACAGGCTTACACTCCTTAGACTCTTCAGCACTCTTCAGACTCTTCCTATGCCGCTGAAAATACAACCAAACTTCTTTTTTTCTCTTTTTTTTGATCTGGAGACTCACTCTTGTCACCCAGGCTGGAGTGCAGTGGCACGCTCACAGTCACCACTGCCTCGATCTGCTGGGCTTGGGCAATCCTTTCACTTCAGCCTTCCAAGTATCTGGAACTACAGACGCATGCCACCATGTCCGGCTAGTTTTTGTGATTTATTATAGAGACGCGGTCTCACCAAGTTGCCCAGGCTGGTCTCGAACCCCTGGGCTCAGACAATCCTCTCGCCCTGACCTCCCAAAGTGCTAGGATTACAGGCTGAGACATTGTGTCCAGCCCAACCAAACTTCTAATCATGATTTGGATCCTGTGTGGCTCTCTGACCCCATCTTGATACTTTTCACTTTGCCTGCTAGGCTTCAGTTACACTGGCCTAAGTTTCTGGGTCTTTCTTCCTCAAGACCTTCATACTTCACAATTCCTATTTCCTCTCCCTGAAATGCATCCTGCTCACCTCTGCTGACCCTTGCTTTGTTGCACCCTACTTCCCAGCCCTCCGGTCTCTGCTTCAGGATCACCTCCTCAGAGAAGCCCTCCTTGACCACTCTCTTCAGCAAGCAACTTTCTTATTCTAGAACTGCCACATTTGTTTCCTTTCTAACACCACAAAACTGAAGTTATATCTTGACTGATTTATTAAGTACCTAGCTCCCCCATTAGTTTAGTTCTATGCCAGAAATAAACCTGTCTACTCTTCACCACTGCTAATTAACACCACATAGAGTGCCTAGTACATAATAAGTACTGAAGAAAGATCCCTTGAAGGAATAAAAGAATGAATGGAACACCTTTGCACAGGTGTTAAATATGCTGAGGTAATACTGACATGGAAAGATGTCCATGACTTAGGTAAAACAAAATAGTGTTGTCTTGTTGTAGAACAATATGTAGAATATGGACTCATTTTTATTTAAAAAGATACAATAAAAAATGTTTGGAAGGCTAGACCTTAGTTAAAGAGGTAACAATGACTGCTCTGATGGGTGAGATTATTGGGAACTTTCATTCCTTATGCTTATATTTCTACAATAGTTGAAACTTTTTAGGAGTGTATATATTACTTATTTAATAGAGTAAATTTCAAACATTTACAAAAATAAAGATAACAGTACAGTGTACCAAGCCAGTGTCAACAATTGTCATTGCACCTTCTTTTTCATGTATACGCTCATCTATTCCCCCATCCCTTAAATTATTTTGAAGCAAATCCTAGACATTCCATCATTTCATATGTAAATATTAAATATGTATCTCTAAAAGATAAGGACTCATAAAAAATTAAGCATAACCACAGTACCACTATCACACCTAAAAAGTTAACAATAATTCCTTTCATATCAATCATCACTTAATCTAGGCAGTGACCCTTATTGTCTTACAATATTTTAATAGTTTATTTATTTATTGAGATGGAGTCTCACTCTGTCGCCCAGGCTGGAGTGCAGTGGCACACTCACAGCCACCACAGCCTCGACCTGCTGGGCTCCAGCGATTCTTCTGCCTCAGCCTTCCAAGCAGCCAGAATTAAGGGCGTGCACTACCACGCCCAGCTAATTTTTTTATTTATTATAGAGGCGAGGTCTCGCCAAGTTGCCTGGGCTGGTCTTGAACTCACAGCCTCAGGCAATTCACTCGGCTTAGTCTCCCAAAGTGTTGGTATTATAGGCTGAGCCACGGAGTTCAGTCACAATAGTTTGTTTGTTTATTTATTTATTTGGAGTTGGAGTCTCACTCGGTCGCCCAGACTGGAGTGCAGTGGCCGCTTCTGGCCACCGCAGCCTTGACCTGCTGGGCTCCGGCAATCCTTCTACCTCAGCCTTCCAAGTAGCTGGAACTGCAGGTGCGCGCTACCACGCCCGCCTAGTTTTTTTGATTTATTTTGGAGATGAGGTCTCGCCAAGTTGCCCAGGCAGGTCTCGAACCTGCGGGCTCAGGCAATACACTCCCCTCAGCCTCCCAAAGGCGCGAGATTACAGGATGAGCCACCGAGCCCGGCTACAATAGTTTATTTTATTCAGGATCCCAACAAAGACCATACATGACAATTGGTTGATATGTCTCAAGTATTTTTTTAAAAATGAAATATAATGAATGTATAAAAATGCACAGATTTTTAGTGTTTAGTTGAATGCATCTTGACAATTATATACACCTATGCACACCACGCATGGTGGCTCATGCCTGTAATCCCAGAACTTTGGGATATGGAGGCAAGAGGATTACCTGAGTCCAAGGGTTCAAGAACAGCCTGGGACTTGGCAAGACCTCATCTTTGCAGTAAATCAAAAAATTATCTAGGCATGGTGGCCTGTGCCTGTAGTTCCCACTATCTGGAAGACTGAGGAGGCTGAGGCAGAAGGATTGCCTGAGCCAAGCATGTTGAGGCTGTGATAGCCGTGAGTGTGCCATTGCACTTCAGCCTGGATGACAGAGTGAAACACCGACTCAAACAAACAAACAAACAACACATATGCAATAATCAATAATAAGATATAGGACACATCCATGTCCCCAAAGAATTCCCTCATGCTCCTTTGCCCCTTTCTAGTCACCCACATCCCCACCCCCACTATCTGATTTCTGTCACCATAGATTAGTCTTGCCTCTACGGTTTTTTTATTTTATATACAGTAGTCTCTCCGTATCTATGGTTTTGCTTTCCATGGTTTTAGTTACCCATGACCAACCACAGTCCAAGTATACATATATATATATCCTCAACCTGCTGAGCTCAGGTGATCCTTCCACCTCAGCCTTCCAAGTAGCTGGAACTATAGGCATGCACCACCACCCCTGGATAATTTTTTGATTTATTGTAGAGACAAGGTCTCACCAAGTTGCCCAGGTTGGTTTCAAACCCCTGGGCTCAGGCAATCCTCTCACCTTGGTCTCCCAAAGTGCTGGGATTACAGGTTTGAGCCACCATGCCCAGCCTGGAATTCTTAAATGTTGGTGATGGGGATATAAAATAGTATACCCATTTTGGAAAGCACTTTGGCAGTTTATTTTAAAACCTTATGACCCAGCAGCCTCATTCCCAGGTATTTACCAAAGATAAATGAAAACATAGCCACAAAAAGATAAATACAAAGATGTTTTTAGTAGCCCTATTCCTAATAGCCCAAAATGGAAAACAATCTGAATGTCTCTCAATAGGAGAATGAATAAATGTGTCGTGATATATCCATTTAGCAAACTACTACTCATCAGTAAAATGGATGAACTACTGAAATATGCAATAACATGATGAATCTCAAAAAACATGATATTAAACAAGAAGCCAAACATTAAAGAGTACATATGCTATGATTCCATTTATAGTAGTCCCTGCCAACATGGAAGATATTTTCCAAGACCCTCAGTGGATGGCCAAAACCACAGATAGTACCAAACCTTATATATAATATATTATGGTTTTTTTCTGTACAGTAACAGGTGGGTAATATGTATAGTGTGGGTGCACTCCACCCTGGGTGACAGAGTGAGACTCCAATTCAAAGAAAAAAATAAAAGGAATTCCAGTTGTTCTATGTCCTTGCCAATATCTGATGTTGTCATTCGTGACTTCATGGCCTTCTAATAGCTATGTCTCCCAGTCTTAATTTGCATTTCTCATAACTAATGATGTTGAGTATTTTCCTTTGCTTATTGAACATTTGTGTGTGTGTGTGTGTGTGTGTGTGTGTGTGTAGTGAAATGTCTGCTCAAGTCTTTTACCCACTTGAAATTTAGTTGTTTGCCTTTTTAATGAAATTACTAGGAGTTCTTTATGTGTATCCAATACACATCCCTTACCAGTAATATGGGATATAAATATTTTTCCTAATGGCTGATATCAGCAGCCACTGACACTCAAAGTCCAGACTCATTATTCTGGTAGGAGCTATGAAGAATGATATTCTAATCCCATATTTTCTTTGCATTTTTCTGTAAATTTTCCTTGTCTCTTCAAAACAGCCTGATGGAAATTTGATAAGAGATTTTGTTGAATCTAGATGTTTTACTGAGAATAGATAACAACAGTCTTCTAATCCATGGACATGGTATATCTCTTAATTTATTCAAGTTTTTAATTTTGTTCAGCAACATTTTGTAGTTGTCAAGGTAGAGGTCTCACATGTCTGTCTCAGTCCATTTTGTACTGCTATAATAGAATACCTGAGACCCAGTAACTTATTGAAAAAAAGGTTTACTTAGCTCACGTTCTGTAGGCTGGGAAGTTCAAGATTGGGTGACCATATCTGGTCACTTCTGGTGAGGTCTCATGCTGCATCAGAACTTGACAGAGAAGTGGAAGGGGAACTGGGAGTATGTGGAAAGAGCAAACACAAGAGGCAGCCTTGCTTTGTAATAACACACTCTTGTGGTAACTAATCCAGTCCCATAAGAACTAATCCATTCCCTTGAAAATTAATACAGTCTCACAAGAAAACCTTTAATCCATCTTAATGATCTAATCACCTCTTAAAAAGGCACTGCCTCTCAACACTGCCACATTGAAGACCAAATCTCAGCATGAGATTAGGTGGGACAAACCATAGCAATGTCTTTCATTAGATTTATTCCTAGATATCTGATGTGTCTTAGTCCATTTTGTGTTGCTATAACAGAATACCACAGACTAGGTAATTTTTTTTTTTTAGTTGGAGTCTCATTCTGTCGTCCAGAGTCAAGAGCTACCACACCCGGCCTCAGATTAGGCAATTTATAAAGAAAATAAACTTATTTTTCACAGTTCTTGAGGCTGGGAAGTCCAATATCAAGGTGCTAGAATATGGCAATGGCTTTCTTGCTGTATTATACCATGGCAGAAGACAAGAGGGTGAGAAAGGACAAGAGAGACAAAGGAAGGGGGATGAACTCATGCTTTTAGCAGGAACCCACTCTGGTGATAACTAGCTCACTCCAGCAATAATGTCATTAATCCATTCATGAGGACAGGGCCCTCATGACCTAATTATCTCTTTTTGTTTTTAGTTGGAGTCTCACTCTGTCGCCTAGGCTGGAGTACAGTGGCATGCTCATGGCCACCGCAGCCTTGACCTGTTGGGCTCAGGTGATCCTTCTGCCTCAGTCTTCCAAGTAGTTGGAACTATAGGCACCTGCCACCATGCCTAGTTAATTTTTTGATTCATTGTAGAGATGAGGTCTCATCAAGTTGCCCAAGCTGGTCTCAAACCTGTGGGCTCAGGCAACCTCTCACCTCAGCCTTCCAAAATGCTGGGATTGTAGGCATGAGCCACCACACCTGGTCCCTAATTACCTCTTAAAGGTCAACCTCTCAATGCTGCTACACAGGGAATTAACTTTGTAACACATGTACTTTGGGGGACACATTAAAGGATAGCATGATGTTTTAAATTGCTATTGTAAATGGTATTTTAAAAAATAAACAGGCCAGGCTCGGTGGCTCAGTCTGTAATCTCAGCACTTTGGGAGGCTGAGGCAAGTGGATTGCCTGAGCCCACGAATTCGAGACCAGCCTAGGCAACTTGGTGAGACCCTGTCTATACAATAAATAAAAAATTAGCCAGGTGTGGTTGCACAGGCCTGTAGTTCTGGTTGCCTGGAAGGCTGAAGTAGAAGGATCACCGGAGCCCATGAATGTGCCACTGCACTCCAGCCTGGGTGCCAGTGAGACTTCAACTAAAAATAAATAAATAAATAAAAATAAACAATACTTTTTCAAATGTACAGAAAAATTGCAAAGGTAATTCAGATAGTTTCCACATACGAGGTACCCAGTTTCCTATCTTATTAATATCAGTATGATTATTTGAGGATGATGGGATTAAGAATGATTTTTTTCATTGGTTTTTGTACTATAGCTCTTTTACCTTTAAAGTACTATCTATTTATTTTCTTTTTGAGTTGGGGTCTCACTCTGTTGCCCAGGCTGGAGTGCAGTGGCAGGATCACAGCTCACCACAGCTTTGACCTCCTAGGCTCAGATATTTCCACCTCAGCCTCCTGAAAAGCTGAGACTACAGCTGCACACCATCATGCCCTACTAATTTTCTGATTTTTTTTTTTTTTTGTAGAGACTAGGTCTTGCTATATTGCCAAGGCTGGTCCTGAACTCCTAAATTCAAGTGATCTTCTTGCCTTGTCCTCCCAAATGCTGGGATTACAGGTGTGAGCGGCTGGCCTAAAACACTTTATGTATATGTGTGTATGTCCTTCTCTTTACACACACACACACACACAGACACACACACACACACACACACACACACACACACACACACACAGTAGTTAAACAGTGTTTTGCTCTTTTTTCTTTGTAGAGACATCTCACTATGTTGCCCAGTATGGTTTTGAACTCCTGGCCTCAAGCAATCCTCCCACCTTGATCTCCCAAAGTGCTGGAATTACAGATGTGAGTGACCATGCCCAGCTGAAACAGTATTTATTTGTGAAAGGACTCTGGGACCCCTGCCTTGGAGGTCCCCATAGACATTGTTGTCCCATCCTGGGGTGCTTGGGGCTAAACAGGATGCTATTTTTGGCTCCAAGGTCACACATTTGCAGGTTCATTCCCTATGTAATTCCATGTGACCGTGTCCAAAAGCAGAGCATGTTACTGCCTCTGCTGCTGGCTGGTTCACCCTCAACTGTGGAGTCTTTATGGTCACACTTCCTATTTGGCTTCGGTATTCTTGCCCTGCCTCACAGGAGCTCCAAGTTGTGCTGTCTGAACTATCATTTATGACTGTCTTCTTATGACCTAGGCATGCATAAATAACAAACACAAAGAGGATGGAAGAGCAGAACCTTCCCAAATTACATTCTTTTTCTTGGCTTTAAGTGAATCCCAGACCAAATGTAAAAAGGAACTTTTAATCTCATGTCTAACGCTAAACGGAAAGTTATTCTGGGTCTTCCTTCTGCTAAATCGGTTTGCTGAACTACTGCCATTTAGGGGGCTCTGGTAGAGGCATCACCCCTTCCTGCTTCACAGTTCCTGAACGTAAGCATCCCAAACAATGGTTATTTATTTAGGCAGATTGAAAATGTTATGTAAATTTCAGGAGACACATAAAAGCCCAAATGATTTTGCTCAACTTAGTAACACTTCTGAGTATGGAATAACTAACGGGCTGTGACTCACCACCACCAAAGGCTGGGTCCCAGTACCAACAAGGTTGTTACTGCTTTTCTCATATGGGAGACAGTGCTACTGACCTACTTTCAAGAGGTCATGCCCTTTGAGTGGCTTACACAACGCTAGGGAGGAGACCAGTCATACTTTCTTGCCTAGTCTCCTTTTAACAAGGCCCTCTGTAAGACAGCTGCCTGGGCAGTCTTCTGGCTGCATAGCGAGTTTTCCTCTGTGGGAGGCCAATCCATCTACTCAAGGTTGTACGTGGCCTTGTTAGGGCTTATACTCTTACTTACTGAGCTACATGGCCTGGATAGTTCAGGAAAGGGAGGTGGTAAGTGGGCAGCCAGGATGGCTCACCTGTTGGGTGGTGGCCAGACAGTACTCTGCTGTGCTTAAGATGCTGCAGATGAGGCAGAGCTCCTCCAGAGTGAACTTGGCGACCTCTGAGCCCTCCTTTTCCTTGAGGAGGCTGCTGATAGTCAGCCCTCCACTGCTGGTTGTGGTTCTGAGGAAAAGGAAGAGAAACTAGTCAGGCTAGAATTTCTAATTTGCTTCTTGAACTGGAAATTGCACATTTTAAGCCAAAGAAAAGGGGGAAGGAAAGGTTGGATATGGTCCAAATAAACTCACATACAATGAGTCCTCTTCCTTTTGACCTTACCTTGACTATCATCTGTTTAGATACTCTTGCCGTCAGAAATAGGAAGAGACAAGTCCAAGCATCCGCCAGTAATTATATTAACTATGATGATCTGATACTCACAGGGAAGGCTGCTGAGCTGCCGTTCTCTTTAGCTTGGAATTTCCTGACATGTAGAACTCATTTAGGATTATCTGTAGCACAAAGGCTGGTTCCCAACTATTTCTCTAAGTTAAAAGAAACATCTACACTGGAATTTATATGTTATGCTTGTGAAGGAGTACATAAGTGTATGTTTTTGTTGTTGTTTTTTTTTTTTTTAAGTCAGAGTCTCACTGTTGCCCAGGCTGGAGTGCAGTGGCATGTTCGCAGCCATTGCAGCCTTGATCTGCTGGGCTTAGGTGATCCTTCCGCCTCAGCCTTCCAAGTAGCTGGAACTACAGGTACACACTACCACAACTGGCTAATTTTTTTGATTTATTGTAGAGATGAGGTCTTGCCAAGTTGACCAGGCTGGTCACGAACCCCTGGGCTCAGGCAATTCTCTCACCTTTGCCTCCCAAAGTGCTAGGATTACAAGTGTGAGCCACATCGCTCAGCATAAGTGAATGTTAAGACACAGTTCCTGCTCAGGGTGCTAATTGCCTCAAGAGACCAAAGCATCTCACATCTTTTAATGACTATAGTTTTTTGGGACAGCCCCAGCTCCTGTGTGACTTCTACAGTAGTAACAGCTACCCACTAGTATTAGGATACTTCAGAATCCTCTGTTGGTTCCTTTCACCTTGTCCCCATTCCTGTGAATAGTTTTTTTAATGACAAAATCCCAACTGAGTATGCCATTTGCATCCTGTTGGGACATTGACTAATACACATAGGAAAATGCTTACTGGATAATGTTACGAGAAAGCAGCAGGGTATAAAACTACAAGCAGTATAGTCCCAATTCTATTAAACAAACAAACAAAAACAACAAACAGTATGTGTGTGTATCTATATAAAACAGAATGGAAAAATATATACCAAAAAGTTAAAGATATTTTCTCTGGGTAGTAAGTTTATAGGTGATTTTTATTTTCTTTTGTGTGTTTTGTTTTATAAGCTATAATGAACTTGTATTATCTAAATAATCAGCACAAAAGTTATTAAAGATTTTTAAATAATTTTTACCACAGTCAAAGAAGTTCTCATTAGTAAAACACATCTGTCACTTCATATCTCCTGTAGAACATAGGATTTGATTCTCTTTCCTTCAAATAATATAAAACTCCCATGTGACACATTATAGTGACAATAACAGAAATAAATTACAGAATTATTAAATTTAGCCATGGAGATGATTTATAAATACTAAATTCAGAAGCATTACTGTAGGTCATATTCTATTACAGTAAAAATTACTATATGACCAAAACATCTCTAAAAATCCTAGCTGAATGATCTACTTATTTCAAGTAATAAGCAGTATAACAATATTCTAATGCCCCAGAATAATATAGCAGACTCACCACAATTAGTAGCTGTGTCCTGCAACCCTTTTCCCCCAAATTCTACCACATCTTTAAACATTAGACTCTGTCCAACATAGCAAAATGTACACACTATACAAGGGATTTTAGAACCTAACTGGACTAAGGAAAAAGCAGATTCATTTCTCCTATCTAACTATCACTCCAGGGTATAATCTCATTGAATGAGGCTTGAAGAAAATTGCTTATGGTATTTAATAGTTATTTCCACCATAACCTCACTTTTTTTTGGCCAAGTACCTACAGTTGAATTCATGTAAATTAAATACACATATAATGGGATTGATTTCCTTGAGTCCACTAAGACTTGGCCTCTATTGGCAGTCAGTATGGGCATTTCCTTTAAAGGTCTTGATCAGCTGTGGAATGTCATTAGAGAGGAAATAGTTTCAGACCCTTGGGAACTCAGTAAGGGTACTTTCCTCCTTGATACTCTTAGTAGTTCAGTAAACAACTACACAGTGGATTTCCTTCAAGATTTCCATATTTAGGTATATTCAGATTTTACTTCACTCAGACCATGAAGAATAGGACTTACTTGGGCAGGTTGCCAGAAAGAATTTTCCAGGCGTATTCTCGGAGGTACTTCTGGAAAATGGTGGTCAGAGCAATCATTGGCTCCCCAGTACTGAGTTGAGAGCACTGCACCATGCACTTCTTGTAGTAGACAAAGAGGTCAGCACAGCTGGGGAGCACAGCACCCCCTTCATCAGTGTTGGGCTTGGGTGGCCCCTGGGCTTTGAAATCAGCCACAAACCGATCTATCAGCTCTCCAAGGTTTCTAAGAGAAAGAAAACCTACAATGTTATTTTATTTCAAGAAAGATAAAGCAAATGCGCTTCTTTGTAGTCTGCATAAATTACTGCCACAAGTAACCATTCCTAATGCTTTTAAAACTGGATCACTTTTATTCATATCATCATTCACCACTATCACTGCTCCTATAATAACAGGAGCAATAAAATTTGGCATTTGTGTGTTGCTTTATACTTTTCAAGGCATTTTGTTTTTTGGGGGTTTTTTTTGTTTTTGTTTTTGTTTTTTTGAGTTGGAGTCTCACTCTGTCGCCCAGACTGGAGTGCAGTGGTCGCTCCCTGCTGGGCTCTGGCGACCCTTCCGCCTCAGCCTTCCAAGTAGCCAGAATTACAGGCATGCGCTACCACACCCAACTGATTTTTTGATTTATTGTAGAGATGAGGTCTTGCTGCCCAGGCAGGTCTTGAACCCGTGGGCTCAGGCAATCCACTCACCTCAGCCTCCCAAAGGCAGGATTACAGGCTGAGCCACCGAGCCCGGCTTCAAGGCATTTTGTAATCACACTTGACCTCAAGCCCCTGTGAGCAACATTAGATATTGCTGGCTCCTCTAAAAGATGAAAAAAGGTCCTAAAAAGTTTGTCTCATGAAATCAGTGGCAGAGCTAGGCCTAGAATCTATCACTGAAGTGAGTATATTGGTCCTACTACTATATTCATACCATTTTTCCTTTTTACAAATGAAATAAATAATGATAGTGGTTATTTTCTGAACATTTACGATGTACCAGGCACTATGTCAGTGCGTTATAAGCATCATCTTAATGAACTTCATTTAATTTTCCCAATAACCTTATAAAGTGGTTATTATCCCCATCTTCAAGTATATTGTCCAAGGTCATATGGCAAGAATGTGGTGGAATCAGGATTCAAAACAAAGCAGACTGGCTGTAAGCCTCCTGCTTTTAACTACTCTACTTTCTGACACACACAAATATTTGGACACCATAAACCTATATGTGTGCAAGAGATAGATGACTAAACAAAGACAAACTGTAAAAATATTTTTTGAATGCTTTCCTTCTCCTTTAATGTAGTTTTTCTGAGAACTTCCAGAATCAAAGGTGTTTATTTAAAAAAAAATCTTTGGAAAAGAGAGTATGAGCAGCTCCAGGGTTGCCCCAGGCCATGGTGGGGATGATAGTTGCAATTTTCCCCCATTTTCCATTCAAATATCCCTAAATTTGTCTCAGTCATACTGAGTCATCACTAGTTAGAATCCAGCAGGGCAGTAGTAATTGTTCTCAGCACAGATGTGCTGTGTGAAAATGGGAGGGGTTCCTACCACTCTTGACATTTTGCATCTTTCTAGATTTCTGCTTAAAGCTTGAGGAATTCAGCTGTGTTTTAAAAATGTATTTAGATAAGAGGAAGAAAAAGATAAGAGCCACACACACCATCAATTAGCAGGAATAGAAAAAAATTAACATTTTATTTAAGAGCTTTGTTACTGAAAGTTTATTATACCCAGATGCGGCCACTCTGCCCTCTGCTGTGTCTTTGTCCGTATGCCGCCCAGCCAACATGTTCTCCTGCCATCTCTCCATTCACCCTTCAAGTTCAACCCCGGTCTCACCCACATGACTCTGGCTCACACCATGTCTCTCTCTCAGTTGCCAGTTCTATCATCTGTCATTAAAAAATTTCTTAAATTAATTTTTTAACACTTTACTACTGAGAAATAAAAAAAGAAATCCTAAGCCCCTCAAATGACTAAATGGACTCCCTCTTAGCCAAGGGGACCCCAGGTAACATTGAAAACTGAGTTTCTAGCCATAATGGGAGAGGTCAGATACAGGACACACCTTATTATACCCACCCCTCACTAAACGCCACAGGCTTTCTTTCCTAAGACCTAAACAGAAATCAACCCTTTGGAAAGGGCTTGCTCTGCCCCTGAGAGCAACCTGCTGCCTGATGCTGTCCCTCTTTTTTGTGGTTTTGACAAAACAATCGACCAGCATTCCTTTCTGATAAGAGACAAGGACCCTAATCCCAGCACTTTGGGAGGCAGAGGTGAGAGGATTGCCTGAGTCCAAGAGTTTGAGATCAGCCTGGGCAACCTGGCAAGTCCTCCTCTCAATAATAAAAAAAGAAAAGAAAAAAGAAAAAAAGAAGTTGGGCATGGTGGCGCATGCCTGTAGTTCCAGCTACTTGCAAGGCTGAAGAGAAAGGATCGTCTGAGCCCAGCAGGTCGAGGCTGCACTGGCTGTGAGCGTGCCACTGCACTCCAGCCTGGGCAACAGAGTGAGACTCCGACTCAAAATAATAATAACAACAATAACAACAACAACAACAATAATAGACAACTGACCCTGGCATGGTTCTGGCCAGTCTATGGAGGATGAACAGTGAGGGTTTTTGTGTCCTCTGCTTCACCTTTTGATGACAGAGGGCCAAAAACTCCATCCTAGGACCATGTTAATGCTGCCATTTTTTGAACATGGGTCCCATGGAGAGGCATAAACCTCAATTGTGCGTGTACATATTTCTTCTTTCAAAAATACTCATGATTCCTTCTATAGCTTATTAAATATGTATATTGGCTACCTCATTCAGCGTAAATCTCTGTCTTATTCTTCCCACCCTTGAAGTGTCTGTTTTTGGCTTCTGGTCGAAGGCTATGCTTCCCAGCCTATCAGGCCACCTTGCAGGCTATAACCCTTTATGAGAAATAAAATTGCTCCTTTACAAATTTATGAACTGTATCATTCTTCTGTTGACACTATACAGTGTAAGGATGTTATATACTCCTGTTAGTTGAAGTTGGTAGAAAAGGAGAAAGATTTTCTGTTTCATGTATGTTATCCTAAGCTCCCTGGGAGTAGGAATGATGTTTTGCTAATTCTGCTGCCCCTGGCCCACCCCTCATGCTTATGTGTGTGGATAATCTTCACGTTGGTGCTCAGTACATACTTCGCTGACCAGCCTCCACACTTTGTTGTTCCTAAGGGACAGGAATGGACGGGTGGAAGGTAGAGATGGGATAGGGGCTGGTGCAATGGAGAAGAATGTGTCACAGAAGGCAAAAGATTCCACTTGAGCCTTCATAAAAGAGAGTCTAATCTCCAAATCAATAGTGCCAACCAAAGCAGAAGCCAGAGCTCTGATGTGTTTTTACTTTAATCACCCACCTATTCCCCTAGAATATAAATATTATTTCAGATCCAATCCAATGAGTAAGAGTATAGATTAATTATGATCATAAAGCATAAAGAAAATGTTCACTTCAAAATACTCTTAAGAGCTACACTTTGCAGAATGTCTACTAGGTTATCCTTGATACTGCTCTCTTCTGTAGATGAGAAATAAACCAGTCAGAGAAACCCTCTGCTTCCTTCCATCTTCCACTGTGTATCAGCATGTTTCAATGCCATACAAGACATTAGAAAGTAAGTAGTCAATGTTTCCCAGAATAGAAGAGTCTAAGTTATCCCAATGGGAATGGGTAAGATTCAATAGTTTTGAATAGATGATCCAGTCCAATTGCATATTGATTGAGTACTTGCTAGGTGAAAGACTTGGTGGGCTATAGGCATAAGATACAATTCAACTTTTTATTTAAAAAAGTTTATGATGGTCAGGTGTAGTGGCTCATGCCTGTAATCCCAGCACTTTGGGAGGCTAAGGAAGGAGGACCTGCTTGAGCCCAGGAATTCAAGTACAGCTTGGATAACGTAGCGAGACCCTGTCTCAATTAAAAATCTAACCCTTTACACCTGGACATCGTAAATCTAGCAAACCACTTGGATGACCCCTCTCAGGGAACATAAAGAGATCGCTAGTGATTATACAGAACAAACATACACCAGTGCAAATTTTTTTCAAGACTCTGTCTCTAAAAAAATAAAAATAGATATAGATGTATATGAATAAACATATGCTTATATATACATATACATTTTCTTGAAGTTTTGCATTCAAATTGCCTGAAAAAGCAAATAAAGAGATGGAATATATACTGACATATGATCTATCAGTGGAGAAGTGGTTTTTAGGAATCACGAGTGGGTCCTCCCACATCTTCTTTGAACAACACACTATTACATTACAAATTATTAATGTGGGAGGAAGAAAATGAGACTGCATTGTCTGCTCCAATAGAAAAATGCCAGGTGGAAGCTGGGCTCGATAGCTCAGCCTGCAATCCAGTACTTTGGGAGGCTGAGGTGAGTGGATTGCCTGAGCCCGTGGGTTCAAGACCCGCGTGGGCAACTTGGCGAGACCTCATCTCTACAATAAATTAAAAAATGAGCCAGGTGTAGTAGCGTGTGCCTGTAGTTCCAGCTACTTGGAAGGCTGAGGCGGAAGGATCGCCAGAGCCCAGCAGGTCGAGGCTGCGGTGGCCGGGAGCAGTCACTGTACTCCAGTCTGGGCGACTGAGTGAGACTCCAACTCAAAAAAAAAGAAAAATGCCAGGTGGAAGACATAAAAAAATTACTATTGCGCAACATATATCAATGAACCTACAATGCATGATGGTGACTGTTTTACATGTTACCATATGTTAGAAACATATAAGATACAAAATTTTGATATTTTTTGTCATACTGTTTAAAATTCCACTATAAGCCTAATATCATTATAATAAAATAATTGGTTCCAATGCCATACTATTTAATATGAAGTGATTTGGTTTTTACTATTTTGTAAAAAAGTACAACTGAGTTGCTGGTAGGTGATCCACAAGATGTCTCTGAGTGCAAAGGGCTAAAAATTATCCGGGCATGGTGATGCGTGCCTGTAATCCCAGGTACTCAAGAGGCTGAGGCAGGGAGATTGCTTGAGCCCAAGAGTTTGAGGCTTAGTGAGCTACAATTGCACTACTGCACTCTAGCTTGGGCAACAAAGAAAGACTTTGTTAGCCGGGCTCGGTGGCTCAGCCTGTAATCCCACGCCTTTGGGAGGCTGAGGTGAGTGGATTGCCTGAGCCCACGGGTTTGAGACCTGCCTGGGCAACTTGGCGA